TTTTTTTCTTTATTAAAGAGTGTTTTGATGTCTCCAAAATCCATTATTTGCGTTAAATACATAACAAATTATTAATAATTCAATATTTAACTAATGTTTTAGTAGTTGAAATGGTTTTATCATGTATAAAAAACCTTTTATATTCTTATACTTTCTCTTCTCATTCCTCATCTTTCAAAAACTTGAACTAATTTTAGTATATTAAAAAAAATGAAATTCAACATTTAAATAACAATTTGATGGCCTACCAATTTTAAAGGTTGTTAAGGAAGTAAAAGAGAGATAGTCAATCTTATTAATTTGTGATTTAAAATGTAAGATGTATATAAAATCATTGATACGATAATAATAATATATCTTTTTCTTTATCGTTTAATTTCAAATTAAGATTAAGAATTTTAAAAATAAATCCATAATCTCAAAGTTATAAACTTGTAAATTTCAGTTTTTAAATTTTTAATCAACTAAAAAGGGTTTTATTTGTTCAATCATATATCTTTAATTTTACCAACGAAGAGTTGGATCAAGTAGTAAGCGACTTGTTCAGCTTAAGTAAGGTTTCGAGTTTGAGACCTTATGAATGCAGCAGCCTCTATTGGGAGACTCACCCACCATTTTCAGAAGAGCGACGTGGGTCGATCTGGATTAGTCGGGGCGAAACCCTGGATACCGGATGAAAAACCAAAAATATATATATATCTTTAATTTTTTTTTTTTTTTGATCAACCAAAAAAAAATTAATTTATTGAAGCACAAGGGTGATCCTGCCCATATACAAAAGAAGTAGACCACAACAGAGGAGAGCCAATCTCCTACTAACCAGAAGAAAATAAAGCTACAAACCACATACAATAACCAAAAGCGTCAGGTGCCCAAACCTCAACTTATGAATACGAAACAGCCCCACCTATCCATCACCTAGAGGTCCCGCAAGCTTTAAAGAACTGCTTCCTCATCCTTTTGTGATTTTTGACAGACTTAGCACATTTCATTGGACAAGATTGCCATTCGTAAAAAGAAAAAACGCAGCCATTGACTTTGGATTTTATCCATATAAATGCTTTAATTTGCATCCTTTCCAACAAGTTTTCTGATAATCCTTCATCTTTTCGAAATACTTGAACATTCCGCTTATACTATATAAGTACCAGGTGACCACTAGAAAAATACAAGAACCCATCTCCTTGCCAACAATTCTGCCCATAGCACCAATAAAAAAATCTGTCATTCCCCCGACTGTATTAGGCAAAATAGACTCCAAGCCCCATCATATATCTTTAATTTATTTCGTCTACTCCTTTGAATCCTTTTGATTCAAAATAATTATTTTTATTTTAAATCTACTTTAAATTAATTGTTATTTTTTTAAGATAAATAAATATTTTTTATTTTAAACTTATTATTATTCATTTATTTTAATTAATTATCCAATCACACATTTTTTTATTTTTTAAAGATATTATAAATAAATATAAATATTATCTATTTTAAACTTATTATTATTCATTTATTTTAATTAATTATCCAATCACACATTTTTTT